TACATTTTTGAAGATAATCAACAAGAAATGATGATTCTGTTAACATGCATCATATAAGAAACTTTAAAGGAACTTCAGTCCAAGAAAGATGTCTCCCACATGATAGTGATAAGGTGTATGTTGTCATTTTACGCAAAGCGTTTATTGATTAAAAGTATAAATCCCGTAGAATTTTTACATATCCTTCATTGATAAATGAATACAAGTTTGAAGTAAGGATCAAGTAGGCTTCTTCTCACATTCACCAACTCTACAGTAGAACATGATACAGGTCACAGGTATATACATATATATACATACTGTGTAGAATACTACTTCTCTATAGCCAATGACGCATACTATTTATACATTTGTTCACTTTGGAAATGAATGTTCATTTATTGACATTTCGTAAACATAGTTTTGAAACTAAATACTCAATGATAACTAAAAATCAGTTGACCTTTTGACCTAGATCAGTAAGTTTGCCTGAAATTATATAAACTTTAAAACATAGAAATATACGTATTGTAACCCAGCCGATAGGCTGAGTATCTTTATAGGCAGTGGGTTGATTGAAGCTGATCGAAAAGATGTGAAACTTGACTGACAGTTTTTGGCACCTATAATCTCCATCAGAGTTTGAATTAACATCTTCAAGCATCACACAACATACAGTAATTCTAGTAATATTGCTTGTATTATACCGTCGTTGATCAGACCAAATTGATAGGTCTCTATTGGCATATGGGATCTTATGCAGATGCCTCGATATTACCGGTGTTTTAATTATCGTAATGATGGATAGTGGCTAGCAGTGGAATCCAGGATACAAATTTCGTTCTTTTTGGGACTCGTCAACTGTATGTACCTACCTCCCACAGGCAAGCAATGATACTAAAACTATACTCGTCGCTTGATGGTCTAGTGTATAACGCTCTAGCGTTTGAGCCGGTCGGCCCTGGGTTTGAATCCTGGCAGGAACAACACTTACTGGGATGCAAGCACATCCAGCTGACGAGTCCCAAATAGGGCGGAATGCGCTTGCTGGATTCCACTGCTAGCCACTATCCATAATTCATACGGTAATTCTATATGGAGGTTTATTAATTGATTTTAGGTTGGGATTGATTATGGACTGACATCAACTAGAGAACCGCTGGAAACCTGGGAGAACTGGAAAGCTATTTCATCCTAGTATAGGACTCGTCGGCAGTGTGCAGGCATGACCTCGCCCCAACGGGGATCGACTCCATGACCATCTGGTTCCGTGGCCAGCATGTTACCATTGAGCCACTGGGTCGGAGTCGAATGGTCCATATTTCCTACTTCTGTCACTTCACGATATAATGGGACCCACATCCAATGTCGTCATTGAGTAACTGTTCTCATTTTCCATTCGGTTGACTTCACTGGTAACCACTTCTCATTGAAACTTTAGGAACCACCTCTCGAAGCTAGTCACCATTGAGCGCTAAATTAATTCTATCTAGAGGTTTGTGTAGGTTTATGAATTGATTTTACGTTGGAATTCATCAATAATTGTCTAGGTACCTATACGATGATTAATTCAACGAAGAAAAACATGTACGTTTCTAACTTCGTATCTGTTGACTATAGGCATCCAATATTAATTATAGTTGGTTAGAGGATATCGATTCGTTGGTGTAGAAAGCTTGACAGATATACAATTGCACCCAGCCAGTGCAACAGTCTTTGTCCCTGCGGTTAGAAAAGCATCCTGTCTCCACTAATAATGTAAATAAGGATGTTATGATTATTTGTCCCTTGGGTTCCTATTGGAACATAGGACTTCACTAGCACGTCACCATTTCACTCTCTTCTCTATAGTCTTTTCCTTTAACCTCGCCCCACCACTGCCCACAAGCTTTCATTTCTTCATCACACCATCTCCCTATGTCATCCTCAGCTGGGACGCCCAACTCATCGTTTTGCATTTCGGTTCCACTCAATGGTCTGACTTGGCCTGACCTGACCCCTCATGCCCCAAGTGGTCTTCTCAGTGTATGTCCAGTCCAATCCAATCCATCTCCACTTCCTTCTACTACATATTTGTTAGGAGATGGATTCTTGGTTGGTTCGTTGCCAGTCAGCCAGAGTTTCTTGTTCCTTATTCTTATTATTCTGGTCATCTGATCTCCATTTTCAGTATCGAGTGTGTGTAGGTGGCGGCTGTTCATGTATGTCTACAGTGACGACATGTGACGTCAACAGATCGGATTCATTGTTCACTGTTGTTGCACTGACTTCTTTTAATACTGACATCAATAACTTTATGATAGTAATCCGGAGATAACCCCCAGAAAAATACAGTACACGCGGATGTATTGCACTTAGAAACTGTCAGTTGAGTGCTAAGTTTAATGCATTAGAATTTGAAGTAAATACAGATAGAGATAAGGCGTATACGAACATCTCTCTATCTACCCATGCGGTGAAATTCTAAGATATAATAGGCAAAGAATCCAGAATAATGTAGGAAAGATGACATACAGGGAGTAACAGTGTAATCGACAGCAATATCGACTAATTATAATGAGTCTTTGGATTACTACACATCTGTTCTTTCAGTGAAAGAAACTGACAATCATTTCACAGGAGATACTTGACATAACACTACAGTTCCATCGATAATGCTATAACATTCGAAGTGATGGGTATCAGGCATCAATTCAGTTGGGAAAACCAACTGTCACCAAAATGTTTATCTTTAATCCTACTACTAAGTAATGCCAAAATAATCCAATAACCATAAGTTGACACTTTATCAAGAATGTAGTAGAGCTATGCTTCGGTAGTTTAGGGAGATGACTATCAATCACTGAGTCAGAGATTCGAACCCCGCTCCACCTACCAAGATTTAAGCAACCAGATAATATCACTAGCACTCATACAATAGATGTAACTTATTGCCTACTGAATGGATATGCACAAGGTTGGATTTCTTTGGATTAGGAATGCAGATTACCACAGATATAGAATCTGAGATAAGCGAATTCATTGTGTAAAACACTTTTCAAATGACCTGAATGATTTTAGAGACTAGAATTTCATTATTACCTAGATTGCTTGTACATTTCACGTTATAAGGACTAAGGATTTCAACAATTCAGTAGTCACGTTACATAGCTGAAGATAATCGAAAGCCAATCTTGTACTTATATTTCGTACTTCTTGGTATGGATACACGAGAATTGTCTGCAATATCAAGAAAAATGTTGTTTAGATTTAAACCTGTATCACTTAGTGTTCCAGTCAGAAATATTATAACCAGCTTAATCAAGACCCAAATGATCTGGCGCATGAATGAATTTCACATACTAATCAGTCCATGGATTGTAAACAAATGCAATTTTGATCCTTTTGTGATGACTAAATTTTATCAATGAAGATGAATTTACTGATACGTGTCAATCAGTATGAAGCCAAAATTCAGATTTTTCACCAAATTCTTTCTATCATCCAGCATCAAATGCGATTAATTAAGATGCAGTTTCATTTATTTTGGTATCTACAATACAAACGTGACAATGAGATCTGGATAGTACAATACTGGTCACTAACCAAAAGGAAATGACACACACTCAGCTACGTTGTGTATATGCGTGCAGTAGACAATGAACCACATCTATTATGTGAGTACTAGTGATACTACTTGGTTGTCCAAACCTCGGTAGGTGCAGCGGCCTCCAAACTTGTGACCAAATGGTTGATAGTCATCTCCTTAAAGCATTGATCTACAGCCTAAAGACATAAACAGGGAGGAGTGCATGTATACAGCATACAACTCTCTTCAAACCTCGCACATAACCATAAGATCATGTACTATCCCGCCAAGGGTGGTGGGATAGTACATGATCTTATGGCTATGTGCGAGGTTGGAAGAGAGTTTTATGGTATATGCTGTATGTTACTAAGCTGCATGGGGGTCTGCGTACTGGTTTATTAGTTATGCCCAATATGTGGAGATTCTAGATATACACTGGGGTGGAATTGTGGCAAGTTGAATTTTAACCTGAAACTCAACAGTTAAAAATCAAATTCCTACACTATTGGGTCAATATTTGACCAAAAATAATCCAATTTCTATGAAATACTCCTTAAAAGGTGAGAAGAACTTAACTTGTCTAGCATATTATTACACCATATGACTAGTCTAAAAACAATAGATGTCCATTAGCATCATCATCATCATTATCAACATAGGACCAGGCATTACTGAGTAACGGTCCGAGTTGCCACACCTCACATCAGTTCATCAAGTAGAAAGGTAGTGAGGTGAAGGATGAAGTGAATGCAGTCAAAAGAAATATAAAGTACGAGAAGAAAGGAAAGAAGAGTGACAAAATGGTGAGATTCGGTATAGCGTTGTTAAGATGAGGATAATGTGTGTATACATCTGCGCCACTGACTTCGGTTCTGAGCCATATCACCTACGGTCTCCAACCACTGGTTCCTCTTGTCCCACCCACCCCAACCACCTAGTAGCCTGCATCGTCCTACATGGCTTAAACCAACAGTCACAGACTTCATACATTGGTGCCATGTTTTAGTCTGACCACCTCGAGCCTTTTTCCAGCCTGGACCCACCTCAGCCAACATTGTGTGACGAGGCAATCGGTGACTAGGCATACATAGTACGTATCCCAACCATGTCAGTCGATGAAGGTTCACAACCTCGTCAACTGATTTACCTCTTCTCCCTAAAACTCTACACCTAACTTCTGCATTACTCACATGGTGACACCAAGGAATACGTATCTGGTTGATGATACCAGCTAATGGACATTAGCGGGTATCATCAACCAGATAAGAACAATCTAAGCATGAGATATAGCAGTTTTCCCTGTTTGATGTTAAACCCATCAGACAGGAAATCAATCAAATCATATTCATTTGAGCAGTTGACTGATTTGACTGATAACTTAACTAAAAGAAAATGCTAATAACAACTATTTAATATGAAAACAGTTAAAAGTGTTTTATTTAGTCAAACTTACTTGTCTGCTAAACTCCAATAGATGAAAATTTCTACACATTAAAATACAGACACTATGTAACAGACGTCCATAAATCTGATCATAACTTGGTCGTAATTGTGATGATAATTTAAATAATAATTGACATAATGGTTGTAAAATTTGTCTATGAAATAAAACATTTTGTTTCGATTGTGTAATTAATTGTTCAAAGGCAATGATAAGATTTCTACGTAATACATCACGTGTACTGATAGACTTTTCATCTTTCAATGTTGGACTAGCTTCAATCCAGATAAGAATTGATTCAAAACATTATTTTGTAATACTGCTTGAAGATATGAACCTTGTACTAGTTTATTCTGTCCTGAATCTGTTGAATATAAAATGCAGAATTAACAAGTAAGCATAGAGTGTTAACAATTTCAATATGAATTTTATGCATATTATTTACCTGACTTTTAACCAATGAGTTAAATGTAGCCAGATAACATAGCTAAAAATAGGTATCAATTTTGTTGTAGGAACCTGATTACCTCACAGTATTGTTGTACTGTTCTTCACCAGATTAGTCTCTTGACTATTACAGTGTCAAGGGTTCGAACCCCTCATTCTGCCTACCAAGGTTTCAGCAGCTAATTTAGTACTACAGGCATTACAATAAATGGAGCACTCTGTTTAATACCATTCATTTTTACGAAACTTCTCAATTGCATTCATCTTTACTCCTTAAATTGATTTGCATAAAGCTGATCTATAATATAATGTCAATCAGAGGAAAATGGAAGTCGGAGGCTAAAAAGAAGAGTGGCATTTTATTTTATTCAATTTATATAAATATGAGAAGAACAAGATTAACACGAATATCTGATGGTCATTACAAAGTGTGCATTAACAGATCTAGCTAGCTTTAAAAGAAAATGAAAAGGGAAAGGGTTAACAACTACGTTACTGATTATCTGAGAATAATAATTAATATTTTCTCGATGACCACATGTCTATAGTTTCATTAAATCCCCTAATAAACCCTAACCAATATTCACTTTTCCATTTGGTTATAGCTCGTAAACATGACCTGATGACAAGCTTGTGTAAAATGTGGTCCAATCATTCAATTAGTACAAAACAATAATTTCTCAGACAAACCAATAATTTAACATTTAGTAATGTTTTAGAACCTCACCTAGTTTACTAGTTCACTAGTTTACCAACCGGATCTAAATCCGGAAAAAAGGGAAGGTTGGGCATATGGCTAGCAACTCATACACCCGAAAACCAATCTAATCGCTAAACAAACTTCAAAGCACAAAGAAAATATAAAAAGTAAAAATAAACTTATTCGGGAGACGGGGAATCGGGGAGACGAAATGATGCCGGTTGGTGTAAGCCTTCGGGAAATTAATTGGCCGATGTATCTTTCCTTCTCTCGACGAAAGCAAAAGTAAGCATAGGGGCATAGAATGCCCGAACAATGTTTGAAGCTGGTTGGCAAGGTTTCCCAGATTGCAAAAGAGATAAGAGATATAGCATAGAAGTGCTGGGAATCTGCAAAAGCATATGCAATCAAAGTAGACTCTCCAAACTGTCAAATGGAGAGTCAATAATCTACTCCGATATTGTCACCCAGAAGACAATCACGAGACACTGAGTTGTGGAGTGGCTATCATGATGTCCTCGAGAGCATCGAAAGCTCTCATAGAGTGGGAACCAATCTCCACATGCAGGATCATAACAGCAACATTCAACTCAAAAGGAAGGGAAGTCACAGTCATATAATGCTACGCTACGCTACGCACCTACAAGTAATCCAGATCAAGAGAAGGAAAAATTCTATAGACAACTGCAATCAACACTGGACAAGACCCCACACTAGTTGGTGATGGAGACATCAAAATTCTAGTAGGTCACATGTTTTAATGCCAAACTGCGAGCAGAAAACACAGGAAGAGAACCAATCATGGATTGAGAAGCACTCAGTGAAATGATGAATGAGAATGGAGAACTGTTTGCAGACTTCTGTGCATTTAATGACTTCGTGATTGGGGCAGTGTCTACAAACACAAGGATATTAACAAGGCAGCGACATGGATTTGATTTCACCAGATGGATACACTACACTAAAAATCAGATCGACTTCATCTCAATCTGAAGAAAGTGAAGACGCAGCCTAGTGGACTCAAGATCAAGAAGGGGAGCAGATGTAGGTTCAGACTATCAGATTACCTGGTGCAAGGAACTTTCAAAATCAAGTTAAAAGCCTTCAAACAACGAAAACTGAACTGAAGGACGAAACTACAAACGACATGTTCACGTCAACCATCAGAAAAAAATGGGAGACATTAAGCAACATCCCTGAAGAAACCTGTGTGGAAGAATACTAGAACTCTGTGGAAGCGACGTGGAAGGAAGCCTGCCTAACCATGTCAGAAACGAAAAAGCGACAAAACAAGGAATGGATCTCGATGGACACATGGAAGCTGATAGAGGAGGGAGAGCAAGATGGTGAAGCAGAAGATAAACCAGTGCAAGGATGAACAACGAGAAGAGAACTGAACACAACCTATAAAACTCTACACTGGACAAGGAAGTGAAGAAGAGTGCACGGAAAGACAAAAGACACTTCCATGACACACTGGCAATAGAAGCATAACAGGCTGCCGGTAGGAGAGACCTGACAACATTGTATCAAATAACCAGGTTACTATCTGGGAAGAGATCAACACGGATGAAACCAATGAAAGACAGTGAGGAAACGTAGTTACCAAAGAGAGAACGAAAAACGATGGCTGACCACTTCAAACAACTCTTGAATCGACCACTACCTGCAACTCGATCGGAAATACCACCAGCAGCCCAGTCACGGAACTATTAGTGAACACAAGCCCTCCGACAAAGGCAGAAGTGAAGTCTTGAACGTCATAAAGTTACTGAAGCCGAAAAAGCAGCAGGGTCAGATAGAATTCCTCCAGAAGCACTGGAAACAGACGCAGAAACAACAGTGGACATGCTCACACCACTATTGCACAAGGCTTGGAAGGAAGGAAAGGTACCTGCCGATTAATTGGAAGAAGGGCTACCTTGTCAAGAACTGGCGAAGAATCATGCTCCTGTCTACCCCAAGCAAAATATTAAGCCGTGTCACCCTGGAAAGACTAAAACATGCGCTGGATTTAAAATAACGACCGGAACAGGCTGGCTCCAAGAAAAACAAATCATGTGCCGATCAAATTGCAACAATACGTTACGCATCATTATAGAACAGAGAATAGAATGGTAGTCAACTCTTTACCCAACTTCATCGATTTTGTAAAAACCTTCGACAGTGTTGACCGAGAAGTAATTTTGAAACTGCTTCAACACTACGGGTTTAGTGACACTAACCTCTTTCAACCTCATTCAACAGCAGCTATATGGTATGTGATGCTACATGCCAAGTGATTCTCAATGGAAAGCTCAGTGATGCCTTTCAAGTGAAGACAAGGTTGCCGCCTACTATCATCACCGATGATCTTCCTGATTGTGGTCGAGTGGACTGCATCATGCAAGAAACTATGGGGAGCAAGAAGATGGGCATACGCTGGCTGGACCGATGAAAAGACCCTAGAAGATTTGGATTTCGCCAATGATGATTTATATCTAATGTCTTGTCGCACAAACTCGAAGATCTACAGGCGAAACCAACAAGTTGGCAGAAGAGGCGAGGTGAGGCAGCGAAGGAAGATGGCACTTCCTTCAGGTGAACGTAGCGAAAACAGAGGTGATGAAGACACACAACCAACAACAGCAACAACAACAAGCACCAATCACCGTCGACATTGAGAAATCTAAACGAAGTTGTCTCTTTCACTTACACCTACCTAGACAGGGCAGTATCGTTTCAGCTACAAGCGGCACAGGTACATATCAGGATGTCACAGCAGCCAGGATCGGAAAGACAGCGAAAAAGGCCTTCATTGATCTGAAATCAATGTGGAGATCTACTGCACTCCACTCCACTCAGCACAAAGTGTGAACATCCAGATTTTCAACACTAATTCAGTCAAGTCAGTCAGTGCTTCCGATGTGATGGTTGAGAAACTTGGCACCTTACGAAAAGCATTTCCCATAAACTGCATACATACATGAACAGCCGCCACCTACACACACTCGATACTGAAGATGGAGATCAGATGACCAGAATAATAAGAATAAGGAACAAGAAACTCTGGCTGACTAGCAACGAACCAACCAAGAATCCATCTCCCAACAAATATGTAGTAGAAGGAAGTGAAGATGGATTGGATTGGATTGGATTGGATTGGACTGGACTGGACATACACTGAGAAGACCACTTGGGGACATGAGGGGTCAGGTCAGGACAGGCCAGGTCAGACCATTGAGTGGAACCGAAATGCAAAACGATGAGTTGGGCGTCCCAGCTGAGGATGACATAGGGGAGATGGTGTGATGAAGAAATGAAAGCTTGTGGGCAGTGGTGGGGCGAGGTTAAAGGAAAAGACTATAGAGAAGAGAGTGAAATGGTGACGTACTAGTGAAGCCCTATGTTCCACTAGGAACCCAAGAGACCAATAAATAAATAATAATTAGTTATGTTTTAGACTTAAAGATCCACGTTATATACGAAAAACATTCAAGTGGAGCGTTAGAGATCTGCACGATCACATTCGGGATAAAATCCAGAAACTTAGGCGTTCTATTCTCCAAAATTATACATTTACTATTGACCTACTGGTTGTCACTATCACAAACCATTTAGTCAGATCGACAGTACTTGTGAATCTATCTTTCGTTTCACTTCACACATATAACAAGCTTTTATCGTCTAACCACAACATGAAACATGTATATTTTCCTCAATTTTGAGTGTCTACTGAGTTGCTTAGTGAACTCGATTTTATTTTCTGTTCCACTGCCCTCGTCATCTGAAATACCTTTGAGCCACTAAAATAACACTTCACAATATTTCACTTAGCGAGTACTGGCAAGAACGAAAAACACTAACCGCAAAGTACCAGAATAGTTACCATGTTTATCTTTTATCCCTCTGAGTTATTTATTACCATTCACCTGTTCCAAGTACCCTGGTTTGATTAAGGTAAGTGAAACATGGTGTCGTCTAATAAAGAACTAAGTGTTTGCAACTTTTCTTACTTCCTAACATCCATAATTGTTAATTTTGCTGCCCACCTCTTGGATGAAACCACCGTTATGGTAGTGTAGATGATCGAAAACTGCCCTATCACCGGATTATTATAGGTAACAATGATAACGACTGTACTACTGAGATGAATGTTCAATAATTACCTATGGAGTTCTAACCCGTAACCTACTGGTTGAAAGTTACAGGTGTCCCAAGGTGGTTGACAGCGACTACTCTCTATGTTTGTATGAGGCTTCAATAGACAACCAGCCAACAACTGTAAACATAGCCCTTTATGTACTTGAAATACGCAACATATACAATGACTAAGTATAAAGCAGCTTTGTAAAACTCTTTTACTTTTGTGACACAAAATAGGTACCAGAAATCTTAAAATCCTTACGCAATAGATTTAGAAGACCACATTTTTTCGCAGGATAATTGAAACTGAAATTTATCACATGTTCAGCAAATAGAATATGAGCCACACCAATTCGATATTATGACGTTGATGTAAACCGGTAACCTGACTATTAAATCTTTAAACCACAGCTGTACATAAATTTGCAGTTTCAACTAGATAGAACTAAATTGTCCTAGTATGACAGATTAATGTTTCGCTTAGACAGGCAATCAAATCTCTGAAATGCTAGTTAAGCTATTCCCAATGCTAACATGTGGTTGGGGTTTAGGTATACAATTTTCAAACAATGGGTCGCAAGATAAAATCTCCTACTTTGACCTAGGTAATCAAGTAGCACCATAACTCTTTACTCTGTATGGTTTGTAGCCGAATACAAAAACCTATCGAGTTATATTTCTTACCTGGCGAAAATCTGACTAAGCCAATCTCTTTGGATTTTTTCACAGTGAGTATTAAAATAATCACTAAAAGTACTAAGTAAATAGCACCCTTATAATCTTTGCTTTCTAAAGACCATCAAACTTCTTGTTTATTACTGCAATTGTGACAAATTTCATCCCAACATCAGTTGTATAGTTGGGAACAAACAACAGAGGAACCTAGACCTTGGCTTTAATAAGTGTCAGCCAGTTCTGTAAACGAAGTGAAATGATAATTAACACTCAGTTATAGGTTAATACGTCCAGAAAAGCCTTGTGAGATTCATCAAATCAGAAATATTTGTAGGTTGACGGGTGATATATTACCGGCCATAAAATACAAAACACATAAAACACTGTTGTATCAGATAAGGTTTGCAGTCAGGATTTTCCAAGATGCATATTACTATTGAACACAGACAAAAGCATTCTACAAGCTTATGGTGCAAACAGTATACCATGCTAAAATTATCTGAACCTAATTTCTTACCCTAAGAGAGTACTTTTGAACTGTATAGTTATTCATCAACAAGGATGAGTAAGTTATGCAGCTTGGTCATCAAATAAAGGTTTGTTTCTTAAGCTAGTATCTACGCTTATTATACGGAGGGGTTAACGATGAACCAAAAACTCGTGACCACACAATCATTCACGTAAATATATGTAGTGGACAAAAATGAGTGAAACATTAGAAAAAGAAATGAACCAGAATAACTCTGCTTAGTGGAGGTATAGGGAAAATAAATAGAGTTTGGGAACTATTATACTTAGTGAAAATCCGTTTAACGCACACTATATATAGTCAGAAAATAAATCATTGCAAAAGAAACTTACTGCAAGGAGAATGCTCATCAACAACTAGAAGTATAATTTTTCCAACATGATAGAAGACTGTTTCAATTTTGGAAAGGGATAGAACAGTACTGTTATTTTCGCTAATAAGAGATTTACAATTGCCCCAATGGTCACAGAATTCTTGTATATGTTCAGTGTGTAGCTTTAGATCAGATTCCGATCTGTGCATCTACTATAGGTTGGTAAAATTGATGAAATCGGAATTCATCTAAGAGATGTAGGCATTGCTAAAGTCCATTAAAATCTGTTGAAACAAACAAAGTCGAAGATAGATGATTAGTGGATGAAACACACAAAACCACTTATTTATGGTGCGAATTTTAGTATCGATAAAAAAGAAAACATTTTCTTTTACAAATTACTCATAAGAAAGGTGAGGTCTGTCGAAGAAGTGATAAATCAGTCTTTAGACGCTGTTTATATCGACATTTACATTGATTGACCACTGAGAGTAATCAATTCCACGTCATCTAGTTTTAAGTGCTGGCCAGATTTCATCGATCATTTTGTAATTTGGTCACCAGACTAGAAGACTTAGCAACATGGTGCACTTTGATGGTTAAATGTAATTGCCAGGACCTCCTGTTTGTATTTATTGGCACCTATCAGTAAGGCGTATCTGAACCATCGGGGGAAGTAACATCTTTCAAAGGGTTCAAACCCACGCTACACAGTGCTGCAGTCAGATGTACATAAGTCAGTCATGCAAAGGGTTCATCGAGGTTCAAACAGCCCGTTGACAACGTCTCTGACTGCATCAGAGTGTAACGCAGGTACGAATGTCTTATGGGATGCCAGTTCCCTCGAAGACACAGATACGCCTGACTGATGACTGCCAACAAGCGCAAAGCTCAGATTCAAGGCTTCCTGTTGATTATCTTCAACTACCTGATATTTCGATGTTCCTTTGGACTGCAAAACAATCCTTGACTCAAGAATGAGTTACAGACAACTTAAAAGTTACGCTTAGCTGATAGTCAATTACACCACGAATAATATAGAACAGTCTTGTAGCTACAGAAAAGGATAAGCAACTAAAAGGTACAGCCACGCTAAATAAACGTCGATAATATACTGACACAACTGAAAATGGATACCTCTAGGTTTCAATTAAACTCAGTAAAACTTGAATACAGAAAGCAGAGGTTGGTTGTAGAATGCTAAACTTTGCGTTAGTTTGATGGACTGAGAAAAGGTCAGAAAGTGAATAGATAATTAAACTAACTGTATACACTGAAATTCCTTTGGACAGAAAAAATCTATGAAATAAATTATTCAAGACTACAAGAAGAGATATTTGTAATATTTTGGTCACTTTCACAAAGTTTTTCATTACATTGTGAGTCACACATTTGAATCAAATACCCAACAAAATGATTCTAGAAAAAGTTCCTATGATAGTCAACTGTGAAGTATACGTTTTGTCCGTAAACTTATCAGTACAAGCTTTTTTTTACTTAGACGGACTTCTCTTCAAATGGTATTTCCTTTACTACCGGTACCAAAGGACGAATTCCCCATATTTTCTCGAAATAAAGCCATTGTCGTAAGGAAATATTGCAGAGAATAACTCTTATACCTCACACCAAATACTACGTAGTGTCTCACAATTCCCGCTAATAACTGTGAACATCTGTGTTCGGAAGGATCCAGAAATCACTAAACATAAACTTCGTGAATAGGAGGTACTAATTAGTCATGAGAAAACAGAGAACTTCTTATCTTGATTTTCACAGCAATTTATGAATCAAATATTCTTATTTAACTGACTCACTGGTCAGTTATTCAATTGTTAAAATCGATTTTGAAGCTAACTGACACAAATTTTAATAGCGGTAGTACACTGTGATTCTGCAGGTTGGTCTCTGAAATAAGAAGTCAACAGTGGGATCTTTAATTCCAGCAGAATTTGCATCTCTTTATCGGCGATGGAGTGCATACGTTTGCGTCACGTAAAAAAAAGAATGGCTTTAAAATAATACAGTCAAGTTTCACACCAAACCGTACTAGGGAAACAAATATATTCAGACAAATGATTCGTAAAAATCGCGACCTCTAACAAGTGTGCATCTAAGAAAAATTAAAATTAGTGTAAAAAATATGAAAACAAACCGAAATAAAAATCTTTACCTGATATTTATAACACTCTGAAAAGTCTCATTCTACATGAGGGTGTTATTCAAGAAGAGTTTTTCCATATCATTATTGTTTGCACGATGGTTATAATACGTTCCCGATGTCCGGACAAAAGCAGTTAATTGCTTCAAGTCACACAACGACTTCACACTTAAAGGATCTATAATCAAAACAAATTAACGAAATCAAGATGCGGATACGCACAAAATTTGGCTAGTAAAACAGGGTCCTACATCTTTTGTCTAAGATTCTGCCTTCATAAATAGGTATTGTATACTCCTTGCAAATTCTGAGAATAACTTCATTGCAGTCATAAGCGTATGAGCCTGCACTAACAACCACAGTTCACACTTCCTTTGAACATGTCAAGCTACCACCTACTAGTATGCGTAATTCCTGCCAGGAGAGAATGGTCAGAAAAAAATAAAAAGTGGCTGAACCAAATCACTGTATTAACTCAATGAAACACTGCTCATTTGCGTGGCGTAGCAGAACAATTATCTTCCCGTCAATTGTTAACTTCAAAACTACATAGCCCTTTAGAAAACAAACGGTCTACATATGAGCTGTATGCTAAATACCATTTCAGACATAAAGTGATGCAATGATTGATACTTTGTAATGATGACTACTGCAATAAAACCATTTTAGCAATCAAGATTCAAATAACACTCATAAAACTGCGACAAACCGATTCTGCGCTTATAAATTTGATTTGATTTCGGAAAACGATTCAATAACACTAAATGACATTTCCAAAAGTCTACAAGTTTTAAAGTGTGTTGACTCCATCTTCTACTTTCAAATCCTTGGCCCCATGCTACTCTTCACTTAATCATCTCCCCTTTATTTATTAAAATCTTGTTTATTCGTAAAAAGTGGAAACTCTGGTTGTTCCTTTCGCGCGAATAACGCAAACTAATCTAACTGGGCCCGGGCACTCAACCAGACGTCTACGGAACAGTCATTCTCAGATGAGACCTTATTCGCCTAAATACCATGGTTGAATAAAAGGAATCAATCGCAATGACTCATGAGCCGTGGTTGTGAATTTCCGTTACCCGAGTAACGGAGTGCAAACGAGTGCTTCAGTCAACATATTAGCGGGAAAATCAGACTACTTTAACAACACGAGAGAAGACGCAGCGGAGAAAAGCGTGTAGGGAAAATGCAAGGAAAGAAGGGAAAATAAAGAAACTATGGGCAGAAATCATGAAAATGTCGGAGAACCCCTAGTGTTTAGTGCGATTTATTCCCATAGGCCCATGGACAAATTGAACCCATACCGTCCTGTTTGCAGACAGACCGAAAAAGTCATTCAGGATCAAGAACATCAGATAGGTGCTTACAATTTGCTAAATTCCTATCACGGAAATAAAAATTTCGACGACATTCTCACAATTTCCTATGCAATAGTACAATGTTCCCTTAACCAAAATTTTAACGTTGGTCTGGAAGCATTTAACTTTTGTGAAGTCTAAAAAACATCAAATATCATACCTCAGTAAGCGTATCACCGACACCGGCAGAATATTTCCGAAAACTACACTGGTTGTAATGTAACGAACGCATCCTATTCAGGCGCTTATCATACAATATCCAATAACTCTTCACGAGGTAGCTTATACCAGTTCATCACAGACAAGATCAACATCCAGTACAAAGTCTTCATTATCAGGGATGGTAGACCAACAATCATATGATAGTCAGTTTAATTTATCTTTCTGTTATTATCTAGTTCCCGCTTCAACACATTCACCGCCCTAGGAAAGCCCTAGAAATAGGGAGGGCACTGGGTGAGAAGAGGAGGATTGCAGGGCACCAATGGAAAAATAATTGTCACTGTTGATAATGTGGAGGAAGCATGGATCTTGTGTTAGACACCTGGATTGGGGAGTAAATGGATGCTGAGCGTACATTCAGTTGCTGCAGGAGAATGTTTGTGGTAAGCCATTTGTGTTCACGTGCTCATCCAGTGGTTGTTTGAAGCAGCCGACTGATGTAGCTGTTGCAGAGCATCCCACAAGGCACATACTTGGGGTGGAAGTTGGACCCCACTCTCATCTTTGCCCAATGGTGGGGTATAAGAGTGGTGTTCCTACGGGGCCGTCGGTTTGGGGCCGATAACGCTGACTCATAGGGATAGTCCCCTTGGTGAGTGATCTCCTAGGCTATTGTCAGATCGCCCCGCTTCCGTCAATAGCTTAATGTGAACGAGTCGAGTTTTCTGAGGCGTTACGTATTTGTTTTGCCTGTAAGCTAGACAGGCATGACCTCACCTAGACTAATGCTGTCAACCTCGAATCCCTGGAAGTTTTTACCACAGCGCTATAGACGTGGTATAAAGTCAAGAGCACCATAAGTGGTAACGTTCGCTGCTGTGAAAGCAGACCAAGAACACTGCTACAACAGCATATGGCAGTTACTCCCAGTGCTCTGGCCACCGTCGCCATCAACCGACACGTCGAGAGTCAGACCGGCAACCTCCACCTAACACCGGCTGTACCAATCGGCCCGGGAAAAAGCCTAGCCAATATGGTTCCATTCGGGCTGGCCAGTCAGTGATAACCCTCACATCCAAACCCATACCACTAGCTAATCCAGAGACATCTCACGTCACGAGGAGCACATCCAAGTTTCTTTACAGCAACATAAGAGGACTCCGATCCCTCGATTCCGATCTTGTCCCGAAAATCCTAATCCTGGTGGAAATGGTTACACCGTACATTAGTAACATCGAGGTGAACATAGACATGTTTCTGGTCAGGAGGGACGGACAGCACATGACGGAGGGGGTTGCAATACACTTGAACAGCTAGTTCAAAAGTGAACAAACCACTGACACTGTATTGACAGAGCTCTCAGACTCTATCTGGCGCCACCTCATGGTCAAAACGACTCAGTACCTAGTTGGGGTGATACATAGGTCCCCTAATAACAACTCGGAACACAATCAAAAACAACTTCAAGTGATACCCACAGTATCAAAAATGGGGTATGACCAGATCCTAATGGCTGGTGACTCAGTGCTCC